CATCGTCGCGGTACGGGAGCATCTTTTGTACGTCTTTCGCGAGCTGATGAAGAACGCCTGCGCGGCAACGCTACAGCATCGCGCGGAGGTCGAGATTTTCGTCCGATTCGCCGTGGGCGAGCGGTGGGGGGTGGTGGAGGTCGCCGATAGCGCCGGCGGCATCCCCCCAGCCCTCGCGGTGCGGATTTGGAAGTTCGGCTGGACAACACATCGCTACGACGAGGGCCACCTCGCCGGATTCGGCGTCGGCCTCCCGATCTCGAAGGTTTTTATGGATATGTGGGCCGGCGCGATCGACGTGTACTCGGTGTGGGGGAAAGGCACCACCGTTCGCGTTTACTTTCCAAAGTCCCCGACAGAGGTCCTCCTGTCGAACTCGAGGTTGAGGCCGGACTGACCAAACACGCGCGGCTGAGGTGGGTTCATTATTATTATTTTTTCCTTTTCGCTCCGATGGGGTGAAATTTCATTTCGGATTGCGTTCGCCTTCCGGTATTATATAAAGAAGAACAGGGGGAGGGGAGGGGGATAACGAGGCATCTTGTACCGTGCGAGCACCAACTTGACAGGGTTTAAACTCATCCAAATTCTGCTGTTAAATGGATATAGTGTAACTATATTATATTTCAAGACGTAGTGATGAACGCTAATTTTTTTGATCTGAATTTTAAACAGCACGCATTAATAAACTGAAATAAATTCAATGTTAAGGCTTTTTCATATAGTCGCTTGCTGCTGTCGTTATCCTTAATAAATGTAATCATCACTACTATTATAGCTATATATCAGGATATAAAATATGGTACCAGAATAAAGGGGTTTCCCGATCACTTTCCAGGCGACACCCATTTAAATGCGCAGTTTCTTCTGAAATGAAAATGCTTTTTCATTACTAAGGGGGAATAGTTTCAGGTGGACTTTGGCGATTTTTCTACAGTTAAAGTGTTTTACACTTTTTCCACCAGTCTAGAATTTCACGAAAAGAGGGCAAATAGGGAAGGTGTATGCGCACTTATTTATTGCGTCCTCCGTGACAATCAAAGTCAGTTTTGTATGATATCCCAAATTGAAGTTATATACATGAATTCTTTAAATTAACCCTACCATTTCTGAGGAACGTTGCTTAAATTTCAAAATTTGAATTTTGAATACATCAAGTTGAATATTTCTATCTATTTATCTATATATACTGTTTTTTCTGATTTTTCAGTTGCTACAGTCTGAAATTATATCTGTTGTATGAGTTTCAAAATATATGTAGTAAATCTATAAGAATTAACTCTATGTGTGGATGATCCAAGGATAAAATATGGTTTCTAGAGAAAGAACAAAAATGCTATGCGTTTTGTTTTTTTATGACCATACTTTGTTAAAGAAAAGTTACCCAAAATTTCCACACAAAACCATTCATTTAACACAATAACAGTATAAAAAAACTGAATAGATTACACCGCTTTGAAATATTTTACTTTATTTTAGTTGCTATTAGTTTCACCTATTTTTCTGCTAATTTTTCTCTTCTATATTTTAATATGAACGTTAATATAGATATATATATATATTGTTGCCAACTTTATACCTATATACTTCTATGAAGTTAAACAGACTGCTTCTCATTTCCTCAATTTTTGGATTTCCATTTAAATTTTATTCATTTGCTATTACTTTATTTAACTAGAAGGATGAAAAATTTAGGTATCTTTTTAAGCTGTTCCTATATTTGAACCTTTAATTGTACTCTGTTTTCTTTTAACGTTCAATCCATGTATTGGCCAGGTTTTACGTATGAAGTATTCCATATAAATACACATTGAGTTTGAATGCTATCCACTTCCTCATCCAAACATCGTAACAAGCATACTAACTCTAACACGATATCTCCTTTTCGAAGTCCGTTGTTATGAATTATAATGGGCCCGAGGACAATAATTAATCCACTTCATCAAGAATGTTCAATGGGAATGCAGCGATCAAATTTGTCCTGAATAAGGTTTCCGAATACTTTAATAGTAAAATGGTGGATGATATTATTTAGGAGCTTATTTTAGTTTCATGGAATTCCTCCCATGGTACGAGAGTGACACATTTACCCTGACAATAAGGCGATATTCGTATCTTTTCACCTACCGCACGATGTTTGCTGAGACAGAGGATTTTAGCGAGAGCGAGCCATGTGTTTATGAAGTATTTATCCGAGAAAAGGTACTTTTCACGCAATAGCTCTACGAAAAAATATCTAGGAAATGGAAATTGAACGTATTTTCCTGGCCTACTTTCTTGTAAAACTTGTCTTTTGCCTTTTTAATAGATTAAGTGAATCAGTAAGGTTCCGGTTTTTTTATTTTAATTAAGCCTTATTAAGAGTTCGGGATAGCAGGCTTATGAATTGAATACCATTTCTTAAGGATCGCCTCTACTTCTGTGAGGGACAGTGCTTTATGGTCATCGTCTGGTCGGCGGGTGCGCTCTCCTAAGTGAACACCATTTTCAACTCAATTGCAGATATCTACGAACCAAAACCCTGGTTCGATGGCATCTTAGCCACCATCAAAGATGGCATAACAAAACCTCAGGGATGAGGTCTAACTAATATTTGCATATCTAATCTCTCGATTAATCACTAGATTGCGTTCTTATGATTTGAAACAACCCTGATACGGTTTGCATGCAATGCTCCTTTGTGATTTTGATCGAAGACTACCTTTAGTCTAACAATTTCGATCAAAAATTGCGGGATCGTTGGAATTTTTCGTCGTAGGGCTTTGGATAAGTCAAGAAAGCCTAAAAATACATTTAAAGATTTCTTTTTTTTTCCAGCTTCAGTTGGAGGATCCACGCAGCCTTTCTATAAAATGTTAATTCAGCCAAAACTTACTTTAACCAAGCCACTATTAGAGGTGCCTAATCGAGAGACCGTAATTCTAACCGCTACATTTCGTAAGATACCTCATTAAGTTTATAAACGTCAAGGGATTTAGTTGAAGTACGGAAAGCTAAAAATGAGGAAATAGCGAAATCGGCTAAAAATCATATCCAGTGTTGGGTTTTACGCTATTCACTTCCAAACACTGATCTAAGAATTTGAAATTAAGGATCTGAATATCTTTTGTCAGTATAAATGATTCTGGTATTTATAAAGATAAGCATAGCAAACACGATTTGAGGGGACAAATTATACAAAGGCAGGACATAATGTTTTTTGTCTGTTTTCCTATCCACCAGTCTATTCTTTAATTCTTGGTATCCTATATTTTGATTACGTCGTAGAATTTTTACGATCCTAAGTGTGAATTCATGTTCGTGCAACCTACCAATGCACATGTACCTATCTTATTTTCACTCGTTTTGGTTAAATTCTAATATTATTTGACTTCATCTACGCTTTCTCTCCCCTTCTTCACAAATTCATTCTAATTTATTTTGATAACATTTTAGGCTTAATATTAAACCAATCTATTTAAGTTTTCTATTATATTTTTAGATTGTTCGTATATTATTGAAGGTAAGTGATATTAAATTTGACAAAAATGATCAAATCAATCTGTTCAGTAAAGATTGCCTTAATGGTAGTTTTTACGTTTGCCTTACTCATTTTTATAAACTACAAACTCGATCTGAAAGGAAGTTCTACTGCTTGTTATGTGAACCCAGATTTCAGCGAACCTACAGACACCAGTATTACCTTTGCAGTCTCCAGAAAATTATGTATATTTGTCTTGAACCATTTGAAACCTTCTATTGAAGAAGAAGCGCTTAATTACGTCTTTCCCAAGCAGAAAATAGATCACCTAACGATTGATTCCATGAAAATGGATGCTTTCAGTTTTTCAGCCTTTGATATCCGCTTTGCCTATCCAGATTCAGCGAATATGATGTTGTGTGTTGCTGATCTCGCTCTTAGCATTCCCAAAACCGGATTTATCTTTAAATATGGTGTTTTCACCTGTCAAGGGACCTTTTCAACTGCTTTAAGCCAAACGACTGTTTGTCTTAACACTAAACCTTACATCTTTCCAAATGGTTCCTTATCTTTGGTGTTTGGGGATGCCGATATCATATGGGGAAATATGGAAATCCATCACGAGCTCGATGGATTTCTGTGTAACGCTGAAGAAAGTATTGCAAAGATTTTTGTTGGTGAAATAAATAAATTTGCCGAGAAAAATATGCGTGAGCGGCTTCCGAAAATAATAGCTGCCAGGTTACAAACTAGCACTGAACAGGTTCTACAATCGGTTCCCTCTCATTTTTATCAGATAAACATGAATAAGAATCGACTCCTTGTGGAGGTGGACTTGCTTCCTGATAAGTTGACTGAGCATCGCAATCCTTTCATGTCTTTGTTATTGTCTTTTTACCTATCGCCACAGTTTCCATTCATGGATCTTGTCGTTGATCTGCCATCTACGAGCATAAACAGTTATTTTGAGCGCGCTCAAGCAAATAATTTACTGAATCTCACGTTTCTTCTTTCCCCAGGGCTTAACAGTACGACGCTTCGGTACTTTTTCCCCAAGGCTTATGATCTTTGCCCGAACTGCAGACTGGCTGTGATGATGGAAGCCACCAAAGGCCCTTATCTCAAATACTCAGAAAATACGGAAATTAATTTTCAGCTTTATAGTAACGCCATTGAGATGTCTATTCAAGAATTCAAACTGAACTTTGTGATGCTAGCCGATACACCACAAAAGGCATCTGAGGTTCTTCAAACTTTGCTGGAAATATCAACAAAACCTTTGCCCCTTCTTAATGGTCTTGTCAATGTAATAATAAATGATCCTACTTTCCTGTATATACGAGGCAATGGAATCAAAAATTTGATCATGGAAAAATCCACATATGCTTCTCTGAATACTATACCATTAGCTCTTTTTAATGTAGATTTTGTTATGGGGGTTTCAAATCTGCATTTTGACGGATTACGACAGAATGAACTATCTTTTGATGCGATGCCACTTCGAGATTTGAACATAAGGCTACAGGAAAGTAATATAGGTCCCTTGAATACGAAAAAATTGGAGACTGGAGTGTTAAATTTTGTGAATCTTGTTTTCATTCCAATGATTGAAACACGCAACTGGTTTAAGCTGCCCATTGTTGACGGTTTAATCGACATTAAAGGCCAAGATTTGATTGTGGGGGCAAATATTTCTCTATCCTAAACATCTTTTCTCTGCTTTCATATGACTTCTGCTCTGTCTTCCTTGGTGGAATTGCTTTTATGCCACTGTTAAGTACGGTATATAAAGAAATAGATAGTTAGACACCTTCTATTATCGCTGAATATATTTATTTATTGTTCATTTTTCATGCTTATGTTCAACTTTCATTGACTTCTTTATGCACATTATAGTGTTGATAGAATAAATATATATATAGAAGAATATGTACTGAGAATATTATTTATTAGTATACAAATTTCCAAATTTATTACTTGGTCTAGATCCCTTAGTTTGGAGCCAAATACGAAAACGATAGCTATCACTATCAACAGACCAAACCCCAATATGAAACTACCAGTATTAATTGCTTTATGTTTCTCAAATATTTATTATCCACGAATTTCTTTAGGTTAGTCAGTTTAGTTAAATATTACCGATAAGTGCTTTAATACCATGTTTATTTAGAGGTCTACCTTGGAACGCTTTTAAATTTTGTCAACATAGCATATTCTTCTCCAATATCTTTTTTTTTTCATGAAGAGCTGTATTCCGTATTAAAGTACTTACTCCTTTAGATCCACATTTGCATATTTTATCAAAACTATCAAACAGTCTCATACCCTTTTTATCGTGTTCTGTCCGTTTGATTGAACCTTAGCAACAATTGAAACCTAGTTAAAAAAATGTTTGAGGAAGAATCTCCCTTATCAAGTCCAAGGGGGATTCCTATTGCTCCCTTATTAAACGGTGATAACACCAATGCTTTAGGTCAACAACTCAGCGATATCTTTTCTAACCTCATTTCCTTGCCAGAATCACGCCCGATGCGGATGGAGGAGTGTTTGAACGCGCTGATGGATACACTTTTCGCGCACGCCAACACTATAGCCGGGGATGAGAGATTACAGCGGATCCTCCTTCGCTTAGTGGACAGCGTCTTTGACGCCTCAACGAGTAAAGGCTGTCGGGTCTTCGACGTCGTCTTCGACCTCCAGTGGCGCGATCTCCATGAGAAGCGCAACCGCTGTCTCTCCCTTCTGCTCAACCACGCCTTGAAGACGGAGTCCAGCGCGGACTGCCAGGAGATCCTCGAGACTGCGGCGGAGGTCCTGAAGGAGCACGCGCTCTCCACCACTGACCTCATCGAGGAGCACCTCTCCAAGCTCACGAGCATTCTCAAGACCTCCCCCGTGGCGACCCGCCGGGCCGCGAGCTGTCATATCTTGACCAAGTTCATTGCGACCTCGGCACCGATCCTCAAGCGCAACCCCGCCCAGCTGGAGCTGCTCAAGGCGGTCTGCCTCCCCTCTGCCCTCCTGCAGGCCGAGGTGGAGACGACCAACGACTGGTACCGAACGGCGGCGATCGACCTGCTGAGCACCATGGTCACGGAGAGCTGCTATGAGGTCTCCGTCCCGATGGCCACGCAGATCGCGGAGATGATGACTCACTATATGGCCACCGTCGCCGGGGAGACCCAGCTGAAAGGGGTCTTGTACGTGCTCTCCAGCATGGCCACCGCGCCGGGATTCCGAAGCGCGGCCTGGAACCTCCCCGCGATCGCCGATTTTTTAATGGAGAGCGATTGGTCCTTCGTCTCGAAACATACAAAGGCCGTCCTCGCGTACACCACCGGTAAAGTCGCGTATGTTTTGTTTAGCGAGGATGATGCCCTGTACGAGCGCCTGTCGGCCAGGGTGCTACAGTTCACCGAATCGGACGATCTTGAAGTAGTGTCTCAATCTTTGGATGTGATTATAGAGGCATTAAAGAGCGAACGTGGGCTCAGTAATGTATCTTCCTGCGTAGAGGCAATGGGAAATTGTATTTATCATATCGTGCCATACACGCCAAAAATTTTTGAGGTATTGGTGCTGATACGATCTCGATACGGCGAGAACGCAATTGATCCCATTTATTCAATCGTAGATGTGTATATGAATTCCGAAGACGATTTTGTCAACTATGGTAAGCTTAATGCTCTGATTCGTTTTAAAGGGAAAAAGCTGGATCTTAACCGTCCAGAGTTTCAGGCGCTCCCGATTATCCTAACTATTGAGATGACAGATCCGGTTTTGATTCGTTCGCTGCCCATGCTAACGACGCTAGAGCGGACGAATCAGCTTGAGGATGCGGTTGAGATGCTCTATCATGACACCCCCGCTGTGCGTCTTAGCGCGCTCGAAACTGTCATAGGACTGTGTGAAATCATTTTATCGAAAGAGAATGATTTAAACTTGACAAACACAGAGTCTTTTATGGAAAGTCCACCACCGATGAATCTTCGTGTTAACTACGCAGTGGAAAGCATTTTAGATGTTGTCGTGTCCGATAGGGATTCAAATGTCCGGCACAAAGCATTGACACTTCTTTCACCACCTTTTTATCCGTATCTCTGCTTACCAGATAATTTGGATGCAATCTATATCGCTAACAACGACACGTTCAAGGCTGTGCAGTACGAATCGCTGATTTTACTCTGTAGACTATATCTCCATTACCCAGGCAATATCCATCCACAGCTTATGTGTTTGCAAGGTTATATATTACGTGATGTAGACGCTCTCAGCTCGTCAATTTCTCTTTCCATCTATAGGATTGGCTTACTGCAGGTATGCAGCGACCACCATTCTCTTTTGCTTGAGCCGGAATCGGTAGAAAAGGTAATATTGAAGCATCTTATTCATCAACCATTTGTTTCGAAGAAATTATCCATCGCTTTGTTAGGGCTTCTTAATTCCATTTTAGAGCACTCCGGGCCAGACAATCATTGTGACTTTTCTGAAATTTCAAATTCTATTATTGAGTTCATTAATAGCAGCGATTCTAGTTTACGTAGGCAGTGCGCGTTGAACACCCTTTGCTCCCTTTTGACGACACTCCAAATCCCTGATGACAAAATCCTTATAGATATCTACCGCAACATCGTCCGTATTATTCGATGGGAGGGTGAGGAGGATGATTACGTTGTTGTTGCCGCTATGAAAGTGATTGGCACTATCGGTGCCGTCAACCCGGTTAAAATTCGCCCTGTATTAAGCGTCCTTGATACTGATGAGGTTCAAAAAGAAGTAGTGGTAACACCTGCGTTAACACACTTTAAACCTCATTTTCGTTTGCACACGAATATGGCTGAGCGCTACCCATCGGTGGTGCTTTATTATATGGTCAAGGCGTTACAGCTGACAATTGATCCTAGACCGCAGGTTGAAATCTTGGCGGCGGTACGCAGCATGTTGCGGGAGATCCCTGGAAACCAAGAAGCCCTGCTCCTCACGCATCTATTCCCGCAGCTGCAGATGTGGCTTCGCGAGCTCGATAAGACTCACCTGTACGAAACTACCTTGTTGCTTATGATAGACTTGGCGGTTCTTTTACGGCAGTACAAGGAGGTTGTTCCTCCAACTACAGGACGCATGCTTCTGAAATCTGTAAAACTTTTTTCTTCAATGCCACAGGCAACCCAGAAGCCTCTGAACACGTACGTTGTCCAACTTCTCGATGAGCTCGCCAAAGGCCTTCCATCACAAGAGATGCAGGATCACCGCTGGGCGGTTGAGTTTATTCATCAGCGTCTTTTGCAGAATAAAAATGATCTGGACCTTGTGCATCGTGTGGTGAAGTCGTTAGAGTCCTTTTCATTTGTTATGCATGAAAAAGACATTCAGCTCATTTTACCGCATGTGCTGCGATGTATCGAGCCAGCCAAGGCCACGCCAGCCCTGCAACGACCTAAGATGAAGGTTATTAATGATGCTTGCTTCGATTTTCTTAATTACATCATGCTTAAAGATACATCTTTAATTAAAGACTGTTGTGCTCAAATTGTGCACATCATTTTGTGGTATATCGAGCTTTCCGACAGCGAGGAGGAGATGAATATTGGGTTGGACACATTGGCAAACCTGATGAATGTTTTGGGGAAGACAACTAAACGGTTTATTAGACTCATTGATCACGTCTCGGCTCAAAGCGGTTTTCCCGATGATTATTTCAAGAAGCTTGTGCAGTTGGCTGGATCTGGAATGAAGGTTCGCTTTCCATTGACAAACAATGTCGATTTTAACCCGGACCTACCGCTGCGTGTGATATCTCATCTGCCTCGACTTTCTCAGCAGGATTTCATAAAAGAACTCCAATCCATGTGTAACGTGACTGATAAGGATTGTGAAATCCTTTCTGTAGCTCACATCGATGGACAGACAATCATCGACTTCCGCTTTACTACAGGTCCATATAAAAATGCATGGTTTAATCTGTTCACACGAAAAGCACAGGATCGGAATTCAACCTTGCGGCGTAAATTGGTCATCCTGAAGGTTGAGCAATGTGTTGAGATGTTGCGGACTGTGGATTGCGATATCATCAACGCCATTGCTATGATCCCTTCAGCTAAGACCTGCAAGCGCGAACAATCGTGGATCTCTTGGCTCCACAACACCTCCGTGCTGCTTTTGAGAAATTCACCCTACTCACCGCTACGCGGCGCTGCGGTAATCGCCGACCGCAATCGAGAATTAGCACGGGATTTATTTCCTTTCGCTGCGGTGGCTATTATCTCGAATTTACCACAACAGGCGCAGACAAAGATCCTTAGTATCTTCAGTAACGCACTTGAGCTTTCCCCGATGGATACGAGACAGACTCTTTTCACCTTAGCTGAGTTTATGGAGACTAAACAGGTAGGCCAAAAACCAAGGCGAGTGACCCTTCAAAAGGAAACAAAGTACACAGTCGAACGAACAAGTACACACTTGAAGTTTGGAATAAAGTACGACCAATATCCTAACCACGGGATAGTGATCACGAAGCTGACAGCTGATGGCTTTGGCATCACTTCCGGTGTTCCGCTCGGTGGACAGTTGATTTCGATCAATGACAAACCAATCTACAATATCTCAGAGATTTCAAGCATGATTGAGGACCTTAATAGAATTGATCTTACCATTTCTCACCCTGTTGAAGAGTTTGTGTGCCCTGAAACATGTATTCTCATGGATATCGAGAAGCTGGCCAAGGTCGCTTTCAACTCTCAGATGCACGCCAAGGCCATTTACTTCAATGAGGTACTTTTTGAAAAGCTCAAGGCGGGTTTATTAAAGACTTCTGACACACAAAATGAAACTGCAATGCGATGTCTTCTAAGTGTTGCTGAACGGCTGATTGAATTTTACGGTCATTTAAACCTTACCATGGTAGCTAGTGGGCTTGTCAAATATCTGACTAATAACTTCTCGGATACTATTATTTCCCCAAAGAGGTTGTGCATTGAAGAACTCAATATTCTTGAGCAGCTTCACTGGTGGAAAGAAGCTCTTAAGCGATATCAACTTTTCCTTAACAGCCAAAATGACGAACCTGTCAACCTGCACGTCTTTTTAGGCATGCTGAGATGTGAAGAAGCTTTGGGCAATATGGCAAGGGTAAATGAGGTCATTGAACAGCATTGGTGCTATTTGGACGAGAAATCCAAACGCGAGGTTGCACCGCACCGTGCTAAGGCTGCATTCCTAATGGGTGAATGGAATAAGATTGACCAACTGGCTTCGGATCCATTTCTCCTTGAGAAGTTTGGGAGGGTAGAACGCTGCGCTGCGCTCTTTCGCCGTGGAGAATATGATCAGCTTCTCGCGTACACACAGACTAGCCGTGAATCCATGCTTGAATCCTTTTCAGACTCTTTTAACGAAAGCTACAGTCGCTCCTACAACGGAATTGTGGAATTGCAAAATTTGACGCATTTTGAGGAGCTCGTCTCCTATGTGCGTTCAAATCCAGATCGTAGGTTAATGCTAAAAAATTTGTGGCAGCGCCGTATCTCAAACCTTTCCTCAAGGTCATCAAACTGGAAGACCATGATATCTATAAACTCCCTGGTGCTAACGCCCCAAGAAGACTTAGCTTCTGAGATTATGGCGATACATAATTTCACGAAAATGCACTGGCACCAGATTGCAGAGCAACTTCTTGATAAGCTTCTGGGCCACGATCCCCCGATAAATGTGCTTTTACAACAAGACCCTGGTCTCATCCATGCGTATATCATGCATCTATCTGGGACAAAAAGTCGACAAGAGGCGTACACACTGTTAAAAAACATCTTACTAAGGGTTCAAACTACTAATGACGATCTCCAAGCCAAAGAGTGGGGCATGAACTGGCTCCTTTTGGGTGAGTGGACTATGACCTTGTTCCCGGGAAATGATGAAGAGGCCATAGAGGAGTTGCTTCGCGCTGTACAGCTCGCCCCAGACAATTCACTGGCGTACCATTCATTGGGTATTCTGCACTATGACCTTTCACGCGATCCTTTGATGGTACTGAAGACACAAACCGAACACCAAATCTCTGCCGTCATTGCCCTCTTCAAGTCCGTGCAGCTTCTCAGTGACCATTCGAACAGCAATGTAATGCAGGACACTTTGTTGATTTTATCCATTTGGCTTAGCCATTCTACCGTTTCGGATCTGAACGAGGCAGTCCGTAAAGGTGTTTTGCTGCTGCCAGATCACGTTTGGTTGCACGTTATCCCACAGCTTATCGCTCGGATTGGTATCACCGCGAAGCTGGCGAGGTCTATTCTAGAGGATCTTTTGGTACGTGTCGGAACTTCATATCCACATGCCCTTATTTATCCTCTCACAGTTGCCGAAAAGTCACCAGAAGCGATTCGACGGCGGATGGCTGAACAGGTTTTGGCAGGTATTCGCGTAACTAACAACCAACTTGTCGACGAAGCCTCCTTGATTAGCAATGAAATGGTCCGTATTGCCATTCTATGGACTGAAAAGTGGCATGCTACGATTCAGCAAGCGGCATACAATCCTGACGACGCGGTTGGAATTATGAAGCTTCTCGCTCCATTGTACGATGAGTTGGGTCATGCTATGACACCAAACGAATGCAATTTCGAGAAAACTTTCGGACCACTTTTAATGCGTGCAAAAGCTGAACTAAATGAAAGGTCTCTTGACAAGGCCTGGACGTATTTGAAACAAGCCTATACCCAACTTTCTAAGATCTTATGTGAGCGTCGTTTGTATATGAATGATATATCACCGACCCTTGACAATATCCGTGACAGTATCGTGGCAGTACCAGGCACCTTCTCTCATGGGAGTTCACTCGTTACAATACAGAAGTTCCGCAACTACATTTCAGTGATGCCCTCTAAACAAAAGCCCAGACGTTTTGGCATAGACGCATCTGATGGGAAAACATATTATTTTCTCCTTAAAGGTCACGAAGATATGCGACAAGACGAGAGGGTTATGCAATTTATTGGTCTTATTAACACTATTTTCATGTCTGACAACGCGGCAACTTCAATTGGACTCAGAATTTTGCAGTATGCAGTAATTCCATTAACCAACAATGTTGGCATCATTGGTTGGGTTGAGAAAACAGAGACTATTTATAAAATGCTGGAGACGCATCGTCGTGAAACTGGTGTCTCTATATATGAAGAAATCAACTTGATAATTAAAAAGGGAGATTTACTTAACATTGACGAATATCACCACCTTCCAAAACAGCAGCGCAAGGCTTTACTATCATACGCGATGGAATGCACACCAGATGATGAACTGTGTCGTATTTTTTGGAAGCTTAATGACAGCTGTGAGCAATGGTTAAACTATCGTAATCGATACGGGTTTTCTCTTGCTGCAATGTCTATGGTTGGTTATGTTCTGGGCCTTGGTGATCGCCATTTGAACAACCTTATGCTCAACGCTAATGGAATGGTGGTTCACATTGACTTTGGAGATTGTTTTGAGGTTGCAATGCAACGTGCGCTCTATGTTGAATCCGTGCCATTCAGGCTAACACGTTTGTTAGTTGCCTCACTAGGGATAACGGGTGTGGAAGGTGTATACCGTCTGACGTCTGAGTTGGTGATGCGAAACCTGCGTCGTAATAGTGAAAATCTCCTTACTATTTTAGAAACCTTTATCTACGATCCTCTTATCAATTGGCGATTGACTGCACCAACGGACGGTGGTGACAAACTGACTCCATTGCATACAGAAAATATATACGTTACAAATAATGAACCTCTCATACTTAAAAACAAAGCGGCTGGACAAGAAAAGTGCTCAATGCAGTTATCGAAAACCTATGCAAAGGCTATAAATCATATGACAGCGCTTTCCACAGACACCCAAAGCACACCTGAAAATGGTGGTGAGGAAGAAATAAGAAATCAGCAGGGAAACTTAGCACTAGCTCGCGTGCGTGCGAAACTAACAGGACAAGATTTCGATGTAAGTAATAACTCTTTTTCCATTAATAAATCTTCACGGCGTGCAGAAGACGAAAATTCAATTTTCAAAGAAACTTCTCTTTCAAGTTCTGTGAATGGTGTTCAGTTCGCTGAATCACTGAAGGATTCCTTCGCAGGACTACCACCCATGCAGACATCGTATTTGTCACTTCGTGCACTGCTAGATGGTGGTGATAGTCTTGATATTCAGCAACAAGTAGAAAAACTTATACAGCAAGCTACAAGCATAGACAACCTTGCAAATGCATACTTGACAGGCTGGGCTCCATTTTGGTGATGAAAAAACACCTAAATATAAACAAAGGAATGAGAAAGGAGAAAAAGATTACATAGCTAAAAAGTTGAAACCATTAGAGAACAAAAGTGTAAATTTTCAATTATGATATTCGCTAACTCTATTTATTTAAAGAAATCCTCAGGATTTTATTTCCACTAAATAATCGATTGTGCAAAACTATAATAAAAATAATTAAACACAAAAAAATGAAGTGTATTTAAAATTTTTCTCCCTCGCCCTAATAGAGAAAAAGGTAACTTAGTAATATTCCCCAATATCTAGGTAATTTATTAAATACATTTATCGCATATTTTTTAGTATACAAGAAAACATCACATCAAAAAAAAAACTATTTATAAAGTAATTTACCTTTCCTTATCCTAATTATACAAAGTATATTCAGTATTCATTAACCACTTGCTTTTTTTATACTATTCGCTCTACTACCAATGCCCTCGGAAGCTTATAACGTCGGTTGCTACCTGTTGGACCGTCTCGTGGAGATGGGTTGCAATAGGGTCTTTGGTGTTCCTGGCGATTACAACTTGCGCTTTCTTGACGATGTCGTGTCGAGCAAGGGTCTCGGATGGGTTGGCTGCTGTAACGAGCTCAACGGTGCATACGCGGCCGACGGCTACGCCCGCATACGCGGCATCGGTGCCGTTCTAACGACGTATGGTGTGGGCGAGCTGAGTGCGCTCAATGCCCTTGCCGGAGCCTATGCAGAGTGCAACCCCGTGGTTCACATCGTCGGTGCGCCGTCAACCGTTGACGCAGATGCACAGCTCATGAAGCATCACACCCTTGGCGATGGGTTCTTTCAACACTTCTGCCTCATGAGCGAGCAAATTTCCTGCGCAACGACCCGTCTCACGACGCAAAACGCCGTGATTGAGATCGACCGTGTGCTGACAGAAATTCGCTACCAGCGCAAGCCCGGCTACATCATGCTGCCGATGGATGTGGCGGTGTTTGTGGTGGACCCACCGGTTGCGCCGATGGCGGTGCGCCAGGCGGAGCTGTGCCCGGAGTCCCTGAAGGCCTTCGCTGCCGGCGTTGATGAGAAGCTGCGGGTTGCCAAGCGCCCCGCTGCCCTTGTGGGGTACCTGTGCGACCGCTACGCTTGCAATGCTCTCGCCCAGAAGCTGGTGGACAAGGCCGGCATCCCGTTCGCACACATGCTTCTCGGCAAGGGCGCGCTGAACGAGCAGTCCGCGACCTACATCGGATGCTACTTCGGTGCCACGTGCAATGACTACGTCCGCACGACCATCGAGGAGTCGGATGCATGCGTGCTGGTTGGTGTCAAATTCCACGATTTCGGCACTGGCTACTTCTCGCACAAGATTGACAGTGAAAAGACCATCGACATCCTGCCCTTCTGCTCTCGCATCGGCCTCAAGCGCTTCCCCCAGATACCGATGGCCATGGCCATCGAGGCCGTCTTCACGGCGGCCATGAAGTACTGCTCGGCGTGGCCCAAGAGTTTCATGAAGCCACCGAGCTTCGACAAGCCCAACAGCGACAAGTTCAACGGCCACCACTTCTGGAGTGAGGTCCAGGCTGGACTCACGGAGGGCGACATCGTCGTGGTCGACCAGGGAACCTCTAGCGCCGCCAGCGCTGGCCTTATCCTGCCCAAGAACGGCACCCTGATCGTGCAGTGCCTGTGGGGTTCCATCGGCTACTCCATCCCGGCCGCCTTCGGTGCCCAGATGGCCATGCCGGAACGCCGCGTGGTGCTCGCGGTTGGCGACGGCTCCGCACAGATGACGGTGCAGGAGTTGGGCTCCTTCATGCGCTTCGGCCTCCATCCCGTGATCTTCCTCGTCAACAACGACGGCTACGTGATTGAACGCATCATCCACGGATGGAACGCTGAGTACAACGACATTGCAACATGGAACTGGAAGGCGGTGATCAAGGCTCTGACTGTAAAGGACGAGCCCGAGGCAGTCACAGTGCAGGAGCCGGGCAAGATCCTGCCCATGATGGAACGTACCCAGAAGAAACGTGACAAGCTCACCTTTATCGAGGTCATGCTTGGCCGCCACGAGATGCCTATCGTTGCACTTATGCCATTCATGAACAAGTGACTCGAGGTCTCCAAATGTATAGCCCCTCGTCACGATCTCATTGTTTGAACAACGAAGGGAATGTCTAAAGTATGCAGGTTTCCCCTCTCCTCATAAGGAAATGAGTAGGTGATGAGCATTATTAATAATATAAGAATTTCATTTTTAGTAGGTATTAATATATTATTTTAAGATTCGTAATTTACATACGGGTATATATTTTTCTCAAGTTTAGCCGTTTTTTTAATTTCATAGGAGGCTATTATAGGCATTTTTTTAAATATTTCGAAATATTATTAGTATTCATTTAACAATTGATTTGTTGCTAAATAAACTTAAAATGATTATATTGAACGCTAAATAGAATAAAAAAAGGCGAATATTCAACAACCTTAATAACAATACGACCAAAGATGAATCTCACGAAGATGAGGTCTATACAACTACTCATCCGACTGTGATTCTACAGTTTTATCAACAATACCTATTCGAATTTTCAGAAAGTCAATTTTCAGCGTGCAGACATTAACTAATTCAGTGGGTATGGCTACTTTAGAAACTAAAAGGGTAAAAGCACACACATATAAATAATGTATCAAAAGTGTGAGCAAACAAATCATGTGGCTTTTGTCCTCTGTCTTCTGTGTCTGTCACAATTCGTGCATAATTTACCCACGTCCGCTGGACGCGTAAGCCGATAGGTATCCCTACTCCCTATCTGTGACAAAGCATCCTTTTTTCTCTCCTCTTCTCTGATTGGCATATAATGCTCTTACGTACACATACACGTGGATACTAAGTTCTTTCTCCTTTTTTTATATTACACACAGCTAATATCAAGTTTTGATATCACTAATTTTTGTTTATTGTTTGAATTTATTTGTCCTCAGCTCTACTACCAATGCCCTCGGAAGCTTATAACGTCGGTTGCTACCTGTTGGACCGTCTCGTGGAGATGGGTTGCAATAGGCTCTTTGGTGTTCCTGGCGATTACAACTTGCGCTTTCTCGACGATGTCGTGTCGAGCAAGGGTCTCAAGTGGGTTGGCTGCTGTAACGAACTCAATGGTGCATATGCGCTAGAACATTTTTTATCTTAGTGTTTGATTTTCGATTTTATTTTTTATCATTTTTTTTTGATATTTTTCATTATGTATTACACCTTTTTTCTTATTGTTTATTTTTTTTCTAAAATATATTTTATCTCTTGATTTTTACTTTTTTTAATTGTCGTTTTTTTGTTGGGACTTTTTAATTATTTTTTATATATATTTTACGTTTATTTTTATTATTATTATTCTATAAATCCTACTAAATTTTAACTGTGCAATTTGCTTTTTTTTTTTTAATATACTTTTATTATGCAATTAAAAAAAGATCTCTATTATCTTTTGAAAGAAATTAATATTTATTCATTAATATTTATTTGTTATCCTTTTTGTTGTTCTTAAAATAAGAATTCTTGTATATGTTTTAACCTTCTTAAATTCTAGTTTTTTATTTACGGTTAGAAAGCATTTTTCATATCAATATTTTTATTCTACCTTCTTTGTGGCATTCTAATGTTTACGACACCCCGCTCATTTAATTGTCAATCTGCTCGCACCTTCTTTTTGGGATGGCCAACATTAATTTTGACGTGGGGATTCATCATCTGGTTTTTTCTTACCATATGGCGTCATGCAACATCTCCTTTACGGTTCCATCATCATTCTAAACCATACAACCACTTTAAAATAGATCGAAATTGGTACTTTGCGCTTTGGATTTCAACAATGCCACAACTTTTGTTTTTTTGCATATTTGGTATGTGGGTAGGGTGGAAGTTTTTCCGACATAATTGAAGGAAATTTTTTCTTCCACTATTTTATGGAATCTGCTCTAATCTATGTTAAAGGCAAATTGCTTTTTTCAAAATTCATTAACATGAATTTCGTATAAATAATGAATTTATACAACGTACGAATACTAACCCTTTTTCTTGGCGATATTTTTCTATTTTTCTTTTAGACTTTTTTTCTCTATCTCAGGTTTTAGGGATTACTTATCTATCAAAATTATCTTGGTCTTCAGGATATTATTAGAACGATTTTATCACATTTTTTTTCAAAATCCAATGTATTATAGCTTGTTTTTGTTCAAGAAGTTGAAATTTTATTTTCCCTCAAATATACGAGAAAAGAACCTTGCGTGAAACATTTTGTGGAATTCCAAGAATGTCTTATATTTTAGCTCTAAAATGCTTCTTATTTCTTCCCTATACCCATGAAACATTTAGTCATTTTTTTTGCACTGCATCGTGTGCTCCTTGTTTGTCCGTTTCAAATGCAACAAATCCTTTTTTTGCTTTAATCCACCGTAACTTTTTCTTAGTTTTTATCCTATCGACTATCGATCCTTTTCCTGATATTTCTATGGTTTGAATCTCTTTTTAATTAAAAAATATGTGATGACAATTGGCAACTGATTATCTAGCTTGTTCATTGCGAGTTTTCTTACTCTATTAATTACTTTTCATGACTCAATATTGATATTAGACCCTATTCTTTCAGTTATGTATACCAAACATAATCCTATATATAAATTTATTTATCGGAAATATATGTGTACAAATTAAATTCAAGTGAAAAAAAATTTTTTTACTGCTATTACGGAAATAAAGTTATTGTTAGAAACATCGCATAAAAAAAGCGCCTACGATTTTTTTCTATATCCACCATCATTAAAGTTTGAAGTGGCAACGAAAATGCCATATTGGGTATACTCTTGGTTTTCCTCCATAACTTTTCTCTGGGATTCTGTCCCGCAAAGCAGGTAGTCGGAGATTAAGCGATCCGCTAAAGTTCCCGCTTTCCATATTTGCTTTACGCCGTGCGTCGACTCTGGTAAAGGGCTACCCGAGTGACACCCGCATTCCCACTCGATGGAGTTCAGCGACCCGGTGTTAGCCGAACCCGATGACGGCAAGGACCCGTTTGAGGCGCTCTCCGAGCTCTGCACGATGATGTTTCTGGCGGAGGATCAGCTGGCCCCGATCGGCACCATCGGCCGGACCGTCCTGGGGGTGCTGAAAAAGAGCCCGAAGGATGGCGACGTCCTCGTAATGGCGGCGCGCACGCTAGCGCTGGTGCTGGACAAGTTCGCCCCCCTCCTCCACCTGCTGCCGCGGGGACGGGGGAAGGGGGCGTTCGCGCCGGGGAGCCTCGGGCCGGCTCTGGG